GTAAGGGTGGAGTATAGGCAATTTTAATTCAGTTTAAGGAAAATAAAGAAAGGTGATACTATTTGTACTCATAGTCCACTATGAAACACTGAAACAATTCATAGTCATTATATACATATACTTTGAATGGGTTTCTATTACTTGCAACCCAAAATTCCTAATATCCAAAAACTGTCTATATATCACTCTTGTCCCCCATCACTTTTGGTTATTAATAGACATTAAGTGCTACCTCAAAGTTATGTTTAGCTCTGGCTGGTGGGGCTCAGCAGATTGAGCGCCAGCCCGAGAACCAAAAGGTTGCCAATCTGATTCCCCATCAGGGCACAGGCCTGGGCTATAGGCCAGGTCCCCAGTTGGGGGTATGCGAGAGGCAACTGATCAATGTATCTCTTGCATATCACATCAGTGTTTCTCTCCCTCTCTTTCTTCTCCCTTACCCCCTCTCTAAAAGTATATAAATGAAATCTTTTTCAAAATACATTTCATTATTTTTCTTTAGATGTTTGAGCTCTCACACTAGAGTTGAGCAAGGGGCTGCATGCCCACTGGAGACATTATTTCTCCCAAAGAACTATAACCACACATTCTCAGCACAAATATATAATTGAACTAGTGTCAGTATACATCCCATTTTATCAATTACATAATAAAACAAATTAGCAAGTATCCAAGTATTACATTACACAGCTCAAAAGACATATATCTATCTATCTATCTATCTATCTATCTATCTATCTATCTATCTAGATAGATAGATAGATAGATACCTATCTAGATAGATATAGATAGATAGATAGATAGATTTAAAGATTTTATTTATTTATCTTTAGAGGGGAAGGGAAGGAGAGAGGGAGAGAAACATCAATGTATGTTTGCCTTTTGTGCGTCCCCTGCTGGGAACTGGCCTGCAGGGAACCGGCTTGCAACCCAGGCTTGTGCCCTGACCAGGAATTGAGAATTGAACTGCGATTGTCTGGTTTGCAGGCAATCTATTGAGCCACACCAGCCAGGGCTCAAAAGACATATATTAATGCCTGTTCAATTGACTACCAGAAGCTCACTTTTTTAAAAAAGAGAAATTGGAAAGAAAGGGAAAATAATCACACTTTAAACAAAAATAATAGTGGTAAGCCCTAGCCAGTGTGGGTCAGTTGGTTGAGCATCGTCCCACAAACCAGAAGGTCACGGTTTGATGCCTGGTCACGGCACATGCCTGGGTTGCGGGTTCGGTCCGTGGTCAGGGCGTGTACTGAAGCCAACCGACTGATGTTTCCCCCCACATCGATGTTTCTCTCCCTCTTTTTCTCCCTCCCTTCTCTCTAAAAACAAATAAAAATATCTTTAAAAAAATAATAGTGGTCAGCATCTTCCAAGGTGTAAAAACATTACAAGATGTTCAAAAATTTCATGACTAGATCTTGTTTTAGCTGCAGTAATAAACCATCACTACCTTCTAAAATTATGTACTAAAGGATAGATTCTACATGTTCTGCAAAAGACAAAGGCAGCATTTTATTGAAAATATTCATAGTCTCTCTCATTCTTTCCGAGGCCCTTCCTGTTCAGTTCTACTCCACATGCAAACATTTTCAATTAACTGTAAATTTTTTATTTTTGTCTGAGGTCATTAAGGACAGATGCTTCTGTAAATGTAGATTTTTCTCTTTCGTAAAACATTTTCAAAATGGAGATTTTCTATAACAGCACAAAATGAGATTTCTAGAAAGACAATAATAATCACTGTATGACTTGGGTAAAATCCAATACAAATGAATGCTTGCATCAGTCTAATTATACTGGTGTAAACATGGGGAATTTAACATAAAACAGCAGACTCATAACCATACAGGCCCTTCTTTCTGGGTTCGTTGTTCCTGGGACTTTAATTCTATATGATACGAAAAATACCCAAGTATTGGGCTGGGTATTTTGGTACTTAATCTCTCTAAATTTATTTTTTTTTAAAGATTGTATTTATTTATTTTTAGAGAGAAGGAAAGGAGGGATAAACAGAGGGAGAGAAACATCAATGTGTGGTTGCCTCTTGTGCACCCCCTGCTGGAGACCTGGCCCACGGTGCCCTGACTGGGAATTGAACCAGTAACCATTTGGTTCCCAGGCCAGTGCTCAATCCACTGAGCCACACCCACCAGGGCTAAATTTCTTATATGTTAATAAGATTCTGGCATGGGAAGAGGTTTAAGGAAGACCTAACTTAAGACTTCATGATTTCAGGAGAGGCCAATGATACCAATGAGGAGCACATTTTAAATGCTGAATAGCAACAGTTTTTTGCTAAGTGTCCGAATAGGACCAGGAAGGGCTATCCACCTGGGGTTCGTGGGGGTTACCTTAACAGTCTGCCTGCCATAGAGGTCCCACATGTTTCTTCTTAAGTTTCTGCTGCCCGAGTATTCTGTCCCTTAATTTAAGTTAGCTCCCTTCTTTCATTCTATTTTGACTCATTGTTGGCTTGTGGAAAACTGTGGAGTAGTGTGGTTTTGAGTCCTCCATCCACTGTGTACCAACTGAGCAACTTTCTTTTCCTCTTTAAGCCTCAGCTAACTCATCTGTTAATTGAGCGGCATAACAGACCCTTTCTCTCTATGTTGTGAGAATTAAATGAGATGATGTGCATGCAGCTCTTGGCAGAGGATTAGCACACAGTGGTCATTAGATGATAACATTAATAGTTATTATTAGAATTATGTATGCCCTGACCGGGTAGTTCAGCCGGTTGGAGCGCCGGCCCAGTGTGCCAGGGTTTGGGGTTAGACCCGCGCATCAGGGCACGTGCAGGAGCCAACCAATGGATGCGTCAGTGGGTGGAGCAACAGATCGATATTTCTCTCTCTTTCTCTAAAATCAGGAAGTGAAAAGTGTATTTATTCATAATTAGCTACCCTACTAAAATCTTACTATTTCTAATAGTTACCGCATTGATTGTGCCTTCATGACGATGTTAAATAATAACAGTGAGCATTTTTATCTTGTTCCTGACAATAAGGGAATAAGGAGCATAATTTTTTTACAGATGAAATAATTGCATCCTGAAGAACTCAAATGCATTAAATGAGAAACTATGGGACCAGAGGCAGGCACTTCTGTCTACACAGGTCAGCTCCCGTCTGGCTCTGGGAGTATGTTTTCCCTTGCCACCAAAGGCTGGAGACCCTGTTTCCCAGGCTGGAGTTGAAGCTGAAATACTGAAGAGGTCTTACTGGAGCAGAATGGGGCAGACCGGTGCAGGGCAGAGCAGGCAGGGGCCTGACCCCAAGGCCACCAAGGCCACCAAACCTGTTTTCACAGCCCTGCTGTGTCACAGTTGAGCTATTTGCAGTGCATAAAATTTCCTTCTTCACCAAACCCCAAATTAGGAATTACAGTCGGTGTTGAATTAATGTCAACTGACCTTGGGTGACCCATCGTTATTCTTAAGTACTGATTCTTGTATCCCTGTTTTGTAAAAACAGTTACTGTAAAAAACAGTAAAAGCTGTTTTGTAAACCAGGCTGGAACTGTATACTTTTGAAACATGGATTTGGGACTTTGTTGAAAGGGGGGAGGGGTTGCATAGGCTTTCAACAACCTCCTCACTGCCCCTCCCCCCGCTCCGACTATAGAGGTCCATTTATATCATTTGTGGTTTTTTAGAAAGTTACCTCTTTCATCTAGGGATTCGAGATCCAGGCTTCTCATGCCTCACCTTCCTCTGTTTGAGCTCTTGTTCTCCTATTTCTCCTCAGTTCAGGGTCCCAGGAGAAGCCAATCACTATCTCTGCTTCCCAATTCCTGGGGAAAAAATTCCATTTCGTTGACCCAGTTCAGACGTTCATCCTTAGTCGGGTCAACCATGACCAGCGCAGCGTCATGTGATACCGACTGGGCTCGTACGTGTGATCTTCGTGACTCAGAAGAAAAGCCTTGAAGAAGGGAGGTTACAAACTAGCAGCGCTCCCCAAAGTTGTCTATTCAGTGCTCAGATTTAGTAATGATTTGATTTTAGAGGTTTTTCTACTTTATCACTTTCTACTTGCATGTAACTAAGTTGTTTCTACTTGTCTTCGATTTATTTTGTTGTCTTTTCTCAGAGCTATTACTTGACTGCTCAATTTAATTTTTTTATTTTGTGATTAGACATTTGTATTTAAAGCTTCGAAATTTCCTCTTCCTATAATTTTAGCATAGTCCATAGTTGTGTATGTAGTGTCTTTATTATCTTTATATTCTTGCTCTGCTCTTGTCCTTGATTCAAGAGTTGCTTTGGAAAATTTTTGGTTTTGTTTTTAAATTTCCATGTTGTTGAGGGAGGGAGTTTTTAGTAGGTAACTGACTGCTAATTATATGATCTGAAAAATTCTACTTTATTACAGTTTTCTTTGTGTCCAAATATGTGGCCAATTTTTGTAAGTGTTCTATGACCTCTTTCACAGAATTCTCTCATTTAATTGCTCTTACATATTTTTGAGACTTAAACTGTTAAGCACTAAGATATTGAAATGTTAGAGGTTAGATGTGAGAATGTTAGACTCGATGGCTATTTTTATATTTGGAATCCTTCTTCTCTTATAACCTGCAGTTCTTTGCGTTGTGTATTTTAGTGCTGTTATTTAGAAGATAAAATTCAGAACCACCACAATGGTTTTGTGGATCATGCATTCAATAATTATCAGTGATCCTTCTTGTCCCATTTAATACTTTTTTTCCCTGCCTTGAGTTCAACTGTGCTCACATTAATATTACCAACTTTTACTCATTTTCCCCCCTTAGAATGTTTTTGCCTATTATTTTATTTGTGATTTTTCTGAGCCTTTTTGTTGCAACTTGATTTTTTTCGATTTATCAAAAATAAATCTTGATAAACGGTATGAAGTATAAGTGTAACTTATATTTTCCCCTTAAGTTACATTTCCTTTATCTATTACACAATCAACTCGTTTAATACCTAATCAGGAAAAAAATATTTTAACAGAATTTGCTGTTTTGTGCCCCAACAGCTCTAGATTTCTGTGGCTCTTCAAGGTGTCCGTCTTCCTCTTGGGAGCTGGCATGGTTTTGTTTGTGCTCAGAGCGGTGAACCTTCATGAAGAGTTCAGTCTCCACCCAGAGTTCCCTCGTCCTGCTCAGGCTGTCCACATGCCAAAGCTGCTACCTGAGAAACATCTCAGGAACCTCTTTTCCTACGATGGAATCTGGTGAGACATCACCTGTCTTCTCTCTTCCCACTTGGTCTGGTGTCTCCCTTGATCCTCCTGTGGTTTGCTCTGCCCTTCTGTACCCACGGTACAGATGGTTCTCTACCTTCCTGAACAAGTGTTGGTTGCTAAAATGATTCCCAACCGTGGGACCAGGGAAGGGCTTGGTCTCCAGGGCACAGTCTCTGTTCTCCGCAACGCTCAGCAAAGTGCCTTAAAACCTTGGATTTAACTGCCACCTTTTTGTCCCTCCAGCCTCCTCTTCTGAGGGGGGGCTGAAATGTCACTGGCATTCCTGTGACCCAAGTTGAAGGAAGTTTGGTGCAGGGGATAATTCACAGCCTTCCCCCGTTCTCCCTCCTCTCTGCCCCCCGTGGCTCTGTCGGGGACCACTACTGAGATTCCAGGGTCTCAGCCCGACTAGGACAGTACTTCTGGGGAGGGAGAGTCTCAGAATGCCACACTGGACGAAGCCTCAGGCTCCCTCTCACCCACCAACCCACCCACCCAATCATGTTCCGTCTTCTTGCTCGTTTTAGGCTGTTCCCGAAAAACCAGTGCCAGTGTGAAACCAAAGACCAGGGCTACCGCTTTCAGGATGGCTATGGCTGGACAGACCTCCCTGCCGTGAAGGCCAGGAGGCAGGCTGAATTTGAACACTTTCAGAGGAGGTATGGTGGGCTGTGAGGGCTCCGGGGTCCTGACAGAGCACGAAAGCTCTCTCCACTTTGTCCTGAGAGTGCGGGTTCGAAGAGAGAAGGAAGGAGCTCCCCTTCTTGCAGGGTCCCTGGGAGGAATTATCGGGAGCAAACCAATGAAAGAGAACTGAGGAAGTAGCCCTTAAATGAAGATTTCTAAACTTGGCTTGTATAAAACATGTCGTAATTATAAAGGAGCGAAGGAACGGCGGCGGTTGGAAGTGTCCGCGTGGCGCTGTGGCGCGGCCTCCCCGCACCCAGGCTCTCCGAGCAGGTGGCGTTGTCGTCCCACCAAGTCTCACTGTCTAGTTCATTGACACTCAGAACACACTGTCTCCCTGCTGTGCGCAAGGTGCAGGATTATTGATTGAAAAGAGCAGAGATTGATCCTGGCTGGCGCTGTCCAAAGGGAATTTGTGGGAAGGATGTTGGGTGCCGGAGTCCGGCCTCGGCAGGTCTCAGGGTCCCCAAAGGATGGACTGTGCAGGTGACAAATGATGAGTCAGACACCCGACTGGATGCCGGAGAACAGCCAGCCTCTGTGGGACTGACTGAACTCCTAGAGTTTGATTTGGGCTTTATTTTTAATGTATAACATTAAAGGAACAGGGGCATGGCATGATCAGTCAAGCAGAAAAAACCAATGCAGAGGGAACCAGGAAACGTACAAGAATTGCCATAGTTTCAGTTATGTTAAACAAAAGTTGTTTTGACCAGGAGAACTATTAATCAGACAATTTGAACTAGCTTTATGTACAGAGTTTGAACGTCTTAGTGTTTATTAAAGGTCTTAGAATTTGACATGGGGCAAAAAGGTACGCTAGACCGAGCAGAGATTAGGAAATTCATGATAAGCCTTCGTGATGTCTAACTTAGCTATCTATCTTTCTGTCCAAAATGTTTCTCTATGTACTATGGACTCTAACTCCTTGGTAATTGTATCTACGTGCTTAGCTTATAGTATCGAACAGGCTTCTCCTGTTTCTTTGCCTGCTAAATTCTAATTAATATATATTCCTGTTCAAGGTAAAGGAGGGGCTGTTACTCCAACAACTTTTAGACATTCAGGGGCTATTTCATTAGAGGGAACTTTGTTCTCTGGTCAAGAAATTATTTTGTACAACTTCATTGGAATTATGCTAATCAGTGAACCTGAAATACAGGTGTCTAACAATCCCACCACCTTTTGATCACCCAAACAAACATGTAAGGAGAGATAGACAGGAAATCCAGCCACAGGTGCCTCTGCCTTGCAGATGCATCTCAACCATCCCGATCTTGTCAAGGGACGGTTGCTGGCCAGCTCCCGACAGTTGGGAACTCACCAAATCCGTAGGTGGTAGGCTGACCAGGCTGCAAAATTAAGATACAAGGGAGTGCATGAGGGCTGGACAACCCTTCAAGTAATTAATTAATTAACGAATTAACAATGATTTATGAGCTATTGTAGCAGGTGTGCTATAGTAAAAAAAATAATAGCACTGTGATTAAGGCCTTTAACTTTGAAACCAGCTGGATGGCAAGTTACTTAACCTCATAGTACTTCAGTACCTCATAAGAAAAATTATAATAGGGATATCTCCTTCAAAGCCTTCTTGTAAGGCGAATGGTATCGCCATGCAAAGAATTAGTGACTGGAAAAGAACCGGACATGTAGAGTCACTGCAGAAACATTACCTACTCTTGGTGTTGTGGTTTATTATTAACATCGTCATCTTCTGGTTCTTCATGGGCAATACATAATACAGGAAGAAATACATAGACCGCCTATATATGAGATGGTTAGAGGTGCTAGTTGGAGACATAAATGAAAATGCTGTGGTAGAATGCTCTCTGATGGCATAGAATTTCATGGGATCATGAAGGAAGGTGACTTGGAACTGTGACTCGTTTATCAAGCAGGTGTCTCCCCAGGCTCCCCATAAAAAGCGTTCCAGAGAGAAGAGTTGCTGCAGAGCCCAAAGCCATGGGCCTTCCAGGCTGGTGGCCTGACAAGAGAGCAGGCCACAGAGCCCAGCGAGCCAGGGGAAGGCAGGGCATGTCAGCCTGGGGGCGGCCAGTCCGGAGGGCCGTGGTAAGTCAGGAAGAGGAGAGTACATTTTGTTTTCTGGGTAGTGCAAAGAATTGAACGGTTAAAAAAGCCGACAGGTTGTCTGAGATACATTTGTGAAGCATCATGCTGGCCTCTGTGCAGAACGAGCTGTAGTGACGGTCGGTGTAGGACATGCAGGGAAAGCTGCGGAGTAGTCAGGCGGAAGGTGAGTGTTCGTTCAGCTGGTGTCGCCGTTGGCCGAGCCTCCTTGCGGGACAGTCCTCGGTGGGGGGACTGAGCCTTGGTTGTGAGTCACAGAAGGGAAAGAGTGAACTGCGCTCTGTCCAGGTTTGATCTGGGGAATCAGCCACTAACCCCTCAAACTACATACACATGGAAGATTCCCCAGAAGACAGATGAGAGCACCAGCAGGAAGGAGCACTGAAGTCAGAGAACTTGTGAAATGCACAGGTGATTCTGGCAGGGATTCGAACCCTCGCCCATCCAGCTGTGTGGGCAGCAGCGGGGTTCAGTAGTGAGCAGTGCTGCCAAGCAAGGCAGACTGGCCGCGTCCAGGTCCACATCCTCCGAGTCCCGGGTCAGGGACCCCGGGCAAGAGGCTTAACCGCCTCCGTAAGTGATGATAATAATAGTCCCTAGGATTTTTGTGAACATGAGTTGATACGTGGAAGGGCTTAAGACTGTACCAGGTTTGTAGCCCCAACGAGATGGTACAGTAGGACAGGAGTCTCTGTGAGGTCCCTGGTGGGGACTTGAGGCGCCTGGCACAGAGTAGGGTTCACCAAACATCTATGAAATAAATAGATGGTTGAGGGGCAACCCTTGGGCACGTTTATGTAGGGTAATGGCTCCATTTGTCCTGGGCAGTGAGGGGACCGCCGAGAGAAGGAAGTCACCGCTGTGTCCAGGAGGGAACACCTCAGCTGTGCAAAATGCCAGGCATGCGTGGTGAGGAGGGAGAGCAGGAGGTGGGAGAGGCGAGATAGGGGGCACGGGACTGTGGGGTGCTGTGCTGATCTGGAGGGAGCTGGGAAGCGGGAATTATAAGAAGGCTGAGACTCCGAACAGGGAAGGGGCCGGCCTTGTCTTTAACTGCCCCTCCCTCACCTGTGGACATGCCCATCTTTCTTGAAATGACACCTGACAGTTCTGGTATGAACAACAACGACAAAAAACAGAGCCCAGTATAAAAATCAGTGTGAACCAGGTCTCGTGACAGTGAGGAGGTAGCTGGACAGAGAGATACCCAGCTCTCTCAGATCTCTCCATCGGCTGCTGGAAAAACACTGAACATCTGCTCTGAGCAAGGCACTGAGTTCGGGACAAAGGGAAATCTGATCTAGATCCTGCTCTCAACAAGCTTGCGGTACAATGGAGAAGATAAAATCAGTGGCCCTCCTCCAGAGCCGTGTTCATTCCTACCACAGCCACCGCGCAGAGTGGCCGAACCCTGTACCGAGTGAGTGCGGGCGGTCTGTGGTCCATACACTGTAGTCGGCAAACTGTGTGGAACTCAGGAGTTCAAGTCAAAGCTCAAGATTTGAGTAGCGGTCAGAAGGAGTAATGTGATAACGACTTAGAAAGGAGAGCCACTTCCAGCTCTGGGGATGGAAGAGGAACAGTCAAGAAGATGGCGACATTCAGCTCTGGCTGGTGTAGCTCAGTGGCTTGAGTGCCAGCCTGTGAACCAAAGGGTGTGAACCAAAGGGTCGCCAGTTCGATTCCCAGTCAGGGCACGTGCCTGGGTTGCAGGCCAGGTCCCCAGCAGGGGGTGCATGAGACACACATTGATGTTTCTCTCCCTTCCCCTCTCTATAAAATAAAATCTTTCCAAAAATAAGTAGTGACATCTGAGCTGGTCTCACCTCTGTTACTGAGCAAATTCCAAGTGTTCTGTGTTGGTGCCTGGGTGTAGGTCCCCCATTTCCGGGAACGGGGCTTTATTTTCTTTTTTGTCCCCCATTGGGCGCAGGGCCTGGCAGTCAGGAAGGGAATGAATAACGGGGCACAGGTGATGTGTGACTTCAGGCAGAGGCCTGGGCGTGGCTGGTTTCTTGAAGGAGTACAACCAGCTTGGAGGAAAGTGTTTCAGGCATTAAAAAGAATCAAGTCGATCTAGACACGCCAATGGGGGAAAAGCTCTATTATGACAAAAAAAGCAAGGTACAGAAAGTTTGTACAGGGTACTACCATTTGCGTTTTTAAAAGGAGAGGGAGTATTCGTGTGTGAGAGCGTGTGTAGGTCCGTTTACACGGGCCGGGGGAGGTACGGACGGTGGTGGTAAATGTTTAGCAGTGGGGTTTTGAAGCTTTTGGTGGCTGCTTGCAGGGTTCGCCAGTTTCCATGGTGTAACCACCACACCCTGGTGGGTCTCAAGCTACGGACCCGATGTCACTGAATGCTCAGGCTGGGAAGGCTCGGGTCGCCAACCCGTGATGTCTGCACTGTACAGATACCCGACAGATGTCAATCACCTGCAGAGCAGAGATCATGAAGTAATTAGGAAGTGATGTGCTCTGAGTGTTTATTACCTTTTTGGGCATTACACGGTATTTCATTTCAAGTGTATATAATTTAAATTTTATTAGTGGCTGTACTTAACAACTGGCTTGCAAAATTCCTCAAAATTCAACTGCTATTGGCTTTCCCTTGCCAGGACAAGCCAGCCCCAGGGTTGGCTCACGTGGCCTGGTTATTTTGTTTCTCTTTTGCTGGTTGTGATTTTCATTTTTATTGCTGATACCATTACAGATGTCCCCCTTTACCCACCCCCACCCAGCCTGTGACTTTTATTTTTTTAAGCGCTTTGTTGTAAACTGCCTCAGTTTCCTGGTGGAATTAGAGGCTGGGAGGAAGGAGGGGGAATGGAGGGGAGAGGGGGACGGTGTACTTTCCAGTTCTCCCCACTGACAGCACCAGGCTCTGGGCAGAGGCGCCACTTTAGGAACTAACCTGGGCCGCTGCTAACGCTCCGTTTCCGGACAGAGAAGGGCTGCCACGCCCACCGCCCCTGCTGGCTCCGCCCAACCTCCCCTTCGGGTACCCGGTCCACGGGGTGGAGGTGATGCCGCTGCACACGGTTCCTATCCCAGGTAGGTACGTCCCCATCTCAGAGAACCGAACAAGTTTCCTACTCCTTCTTAAGCAAGAGCAAGTAACAGAAAGGAACAGTCATAAATTGAGTACCTGCTGTGCACCCAACACAAGGCAATGTATTGCAAGTAAATACAATCACTTGACGTGATTTCATTGAATGTTAATGTCACTCTTCCCACCACTGGAGATCACCCTTAGTAGCTGTGACCTCCCGGGGGCTATGAGGTAACACAGAAGGGGACAGATATCCATGTGCCCCAGGGCATCTCAGGACAAAATTGGCATTTGGTGTCCTACAGCATCATGGGAGCAGGCAAAGCATGAGCTCATCGCCAGGCAGTAGAATATTTATGTTGATTAAAAACTCTGAGGCCTGTGCCCTGACTGGTGTGGCTCAGTGGGCTGGGAGTCCTTTGAATTGAGAGGGATGCCGGTTCAATTCTGCTCAGGGCATCGTATCTGAGGAAGGCAGTGGCCTGGCTCTCTGGGGACCCTGACGCACACACAGGGACCCTGACAGCTTCATCCTGCAGGAAGATCATGCAGGGGGCGCTGGCTGAGACACAGGCACCACTGTGTCTCTCAAATCAATGCCTCCTAGGAAGGAAGCATTGATTTGGTTTTTAAACAAGTACAAATCTTCTTGTCCTGAGCAGGGACTTGCTGGGGGCGGGGAGGTTACTCACTGCTCGAATTCAACATCCCAGCTTTGTGAGGTAAACATTATTTTGCCAATTTCATAGACGAGTTCAGAAAGTTATCTATGGCCACATAGGGAAGATATGTTTGAATTAGGACTCGAACTAGTCATATTATAAGAAAAGAGGTAAATGCTAAAGTAAATACATTTGGGGTTGTTAGTATTTTTGAGTAGTCATTTAAAAATGATATGATGCTTTGGATGATTCATTTTTTTTATCGTGGTAAAGTACACATAACGAAATGTACCATTCTAACTATTTTTAAGTGTGCATTCTGTTACATTAAGCACATTCACATTGTTCTACAGTTATCACCACCATCCCTCTCTAGAATTTTTCCATCTACCCAACTGGGACTCTGTACCTTTAACACTGACTCCCCTCTTCCCCCGCCCCTGGCTGCCGCCATCTATTTTCTGTCTTTTTAAAAGAATTTTTGCAGATATTATTTATTTATTTTTAGAGGGAGGGGAAGGAGGGAGAAAAACACCAATGTGTGAGAGATACTGCAATGATCAATTACCTCTTGCAGACCCCCAACTAGGGACCTGGCCTGCAACCCAGCTACGTGGCCTGACTAGGAATCGAACCGGAGACCCTTTGGTCAGGCACCAAATCCACTGAGTCACACCAGCCAGGGCTCCTTCTTGTCTTGATGAGTTTGACTGCTCTAGGTGTCTCCCGCCAGGATGGTTGCCTTCCCTTCAGTAACAGAGATACCGGAAAGGGGCTGGGTTAATTCACAGCACCCACCCGACGCTGAGGATAGGCATCAGAGGTTTTAGAACGTCTGGAAGGACCATGGGAAGCATCTAACAGAACCCTGGGGAGAGGGAAGTGTGCCGGCAAATACCCTGGAAAGGTGGGGGGCACTTAAAGGGGCTCTGGAAGGATATGGAGTCAGCCAGGAAGGCAGGAGACTCAGAGAGCCCTTGGAATCCTCTCAGATGCTGTTTTCTTTTTTGTCCTCTTATCTGCATCCTGCAGGTCTCCAGTTTGATGGACCCAACGCCACCATCTACAAGGCAAGAGTTCCCTTCCCAGTCTTTTTGTGCCCTTGGCATCCTGTCCTTGACTCACAGCCCGTGCCCCCTCCCTCAGTCTCAGATTTTGACAGAGCCCCGTCCAGATTAAATATCAGACACGAGTCTGAGATGGGGGGTAGGAGGAAGGGTGCCTATGGAAGGCACACTTTTTCCAGCCATAGGAGTGGCTGCAGTTCCAGGGAGGACTTCGAAGACCACGCCAAAGCCCTGAGTCCCCCTTCTTCTGCAAGAAGCAGCTGCTGCCACAGCCATGGCTCCTGAGTTGTGCAGCCGCTGCCAGGATTAGCGCTTCCAAGATGGGTGCCCGCGCCCTGCCCCGCTTTCCCCACTTAACAAAGCTCCAAATCGGGGTCCCATCTGACTGGTGGGACATGCATCACATTGAGAACCCCAACTAAAAAGGACCCTGGGAAATGCAGTGGCAGTTTTCTTACCTCTGCATTTTAAACAGAGGTTGGAAGGGGTGGTGGGTGGGCGGAGCTACCCTACCCTGCAGGGGCCTCCTCTGCCCCTCCCCCGGCTGAGCCCCCCACCCCACCTGCTTCTGTCGCTCAGTGCTCTGCTACCTTCTTCACGGCACCCTCTGTGCCTGAACCACCTCGTTGTGTGTTATCGCATGCGTATTGCCTCTCCTCCCCAGCGGGCTATGAGCTTCTTGGAGGCAAGGTGTCTCGTAGTCACAACTCTTCCCTCGGGCCTGTGGTTTGGATCTCAGGAAATATTTGTTGACTGACTGATGTGTGTTTTCAGCAAGAGTGACATATTCTAGTCTACTTCTCATAAACATAACCGGCCATTGCAGAAGACGAGAAGGCCAGAGAAGAGAGTAGCATTGGAGAGTAGCAATGGGGATGAAGAGAAGTAGACCGATTCCGGCTATATTTTGAAGGTAGAAGTGATAGGACCGGATAACAGATTAGCTGCAAGTGTGAGGGAAAGGGCAGAAGAACAGCAACGATTTTCACTGGGGGACGTGAGCAGTTGAATGGACGAAGGTGCCATTCACAAGGCAGGGAGAACCAGGGAAAGGGTGCAAACAGGTTTATAGAGAAAAATCAATAGTTCAGTTTTGAAGGTATCAGTTGGATTTGCTTGTGAAACTTCCAAGCAGGGCAACCGACCAGGCGGTTGGATCTCAGAAAGCGATGAGCGGTTGACATGTATTTTGAGACCATCAGCACAGGGATGGTATTTAAAGCCTTGGGAGTGGATGAAGTCTCCTGGCAAGAAGGTGTTAGAATAAGAAGGTGAAGAAGAGCATAGAATCAAGCCCTGAAAAACCTCCATTTGGAGGCCCGGTGGAGGAGGAGGGGTTGGCAAACGGAAGTCGGAAGGAGCGGCCTGTGGGAGTAAGAAGAAACCTAGAAAAACCGTGTCCTGTAAGCCAAGAGATGAGAAGAGAAGAAAGGAAACTGCTTGAACGCACCAGGCCCCAGGACTTGATGCTCCTCCGCTGGACCCGGAGCAGGGACGCCACGCAGAGCCAGACCCTAGCTTCTGGGCTGCCCGCGATGCTTCCCCTCTCACCCCAATGTCCGCGCTGCCTGCTGGCCGCGCTGGGTATGTGTCCTTCCTTGGCATTTAGCCTGTTTGTACTTCGCCCACGCTAGGTCACCCTGACTGCTTCTCTGGGGACATTCCACACCCTCGTTGACATCCCGGACAGTGTGGTGCAGGGCAGAGGCCAGAAGCGGCTGACCATTTCGACCAGGGACCGGAAGCTTTTGAATTTCATCCTCCAGCACGTGACCTACACCAGCACAGTGTACCAGCGCCACAGGCTGGATGTGGGTGAGAGCCTGTCCTTGGATCTGCTGGGTGCTCTCCAGACCTCTCTCCTCCGAGAAGCCTGCCTGCCTTTTGGTCGCTTCCCTTACGCCCGTTTCTAACCCTGGACCCCTAACTTCCGAACCACTGTACCCAATACTGTCCCCACATTGCCATCGACTCCATAGAAGGGACTCAAGGAAAGGGCAGGTGAAATGCCAGCTTGTCTCTCTGTGGGGACAGATCCTTCACACTGTGCACCTGGAAACCGTCCCATTCTTCTCCCTTTTCTCTAGTTCTCACAAGCGAAGCCTTCAGCTGTGGTAGAGGAAGGAGCCAGTCGATGCATCTGTTTATTGTCCGGGTATTAACAGGAAAAGGATGGAACAGCCTCGCCCGAAGGGCAGTGGCTTTGACTCTTCCTCCCCAGCCCACGCCCCTGACCCCTGCTCTAGGAGTTGCCCGGAATTCCTCGGGGGAGCCCGGTTTCTTTGTGGATGAATTGAAGTGACCCCTTTCTCTGTCGCCTGGCATCCCCAGGACTCTAACATAAAGAAATGGGGCGTGGGACAGATCACTCATGACCACACACTGAAGAGCAGGTTCTCAAACATTTCCTTCCGCAAGACGACCGTGTGAATTAAAAGAGGGCAGGCAGTATCGTCCGGGTTTTGTAACTGGAGGAGATGGCGTCGTTTGCCCAAGGCGTTTCAGATTATAATCGGCAAAGTCAAATTCAATTCACACCCTCTGACTCCACCCTACCCCACCAGATTCTAACAAGGGCAAGACACGTGAGTTGAGGAACGCTCACCCCAGGTTTCAGCGGGACACACAGCAAGTCAGGAGCCAGAGCGCCGAGGGACTCCCCGGGACACTGTCTGCCAAACCTTCATCCCCGCCTTGCATGGGCGTCCCACTCCCGTGGGAGTGACCCAGGCACGATGCTGACCTCTCTGACCCTTCTTCTCTCTGCAGTGAGTCTGGAGTCCAACTCCTCAGTAGCCAAGTTTCCAGTGACCATCCGCCATCCCGTCCTCCCCAAGTTATATGACCCTGGACCAGGTAAGGCCCTTGTCCCTGGGGCTGCACGGTGGCATCCTGTCGCGCTACTGGTGGAATCCAGATCCCCTCTGAGACGGAGGCTGAGACTCCATCAAAGTAGCAGCTCAGATACGGGCTTCTCAGATATGTTTCTGACAGCAGCCTTGTGCAGCAGGAAGCAGTTCGGGGACACGCTGCTCCGGTACTGCTGACTTATGCTTATCATACGGTTGTGCTTATTTTGAGAAAGACCTAACGCATGGCAACATTTTAATAAAGAAGAGTAATAGGAGTAAAAACAGAATGGTACTGGGGCATGAACAGATATATCAATGGAATAAAATTTGAATCCCAGAAATAGACACATTGGAGTTTTACCTTGTGATAAAGGTATCTTTTCAAATTAAAGGGGGAACAGACAGATTATTGAAGAGACCCCGTGGGATGACTGTAGCTCTGTGGACATGCGCAGCTGAATCTGTCTCATAACTCGTACCAAGATAAATTCCGAATAGATCAAATGTCTAATTTTTTAAGTACTAGAAAAAATGCAGTTTAAAAATAACATTGGAGTATAAGATCTTTGTAAATATAACACAAAACCCAGAAGTTATAAAAAAGACTAGCACATAACATACACAAACTTTTTTAGCATTTTCGTGGCAGAGACCCACCATATACAAAGTTAAATGAAAAAAAAAAAAAACAAGTTGGAAGAAATATCTTCAACCCACACTAACACGAAAGGTCTAATTGTACTGACAGCACCTACAAATCAGTAAGTAAAGAACACCTGATAAGCCCGTGGAATATGCACGAATAACAAAAAAAAAAAAATTAGGTTTGGCAAGTCTTTTAGCCATTAAAATATATGCTCAGGATCACACTAAGAAAAATGCAAATGAAAACTAGGTTTATATCAGAAAGTACTGGCCGAGAATTGGGAAAACAGACGTTCTTACAAACTGGGCTAGTGGGACCCAGTTCTGGAGAGACTGGCACTATGAACATTCTCAGTGTGTGTAGTTTGGGCCAGGAATTCCATGTCTAGAAATTATCCTACAGACGCTTACATCTGTGTGAAAGAACTTTTTTTTTTTTTTTTGGCAATGAAAAAAACATTAAAAGTGGAATGTTCTGGAAGGAGGGAGGAGGAAAGCAGACGGGTTAGGGTTTTTAAATACTGATACAAAATGCTTTCCGAGACCTGAGCAAGGTACAGAGGAGAGCAACGAGTAAGCTACAATTTATGTAAAAGAAAAAAAGGGGGAAAAGAATGTATTTACATAGTTGCTTAATTATGGAAAAAAGAAATAAGTTGCTGATATTGGTTGCCTCCTGGTAGGAAACCCAAGTAGTTGGAACAGGGGTGAGAAGAAGTATTTTCATGGTATTACTTTCTATATATTTAGAATTTTGAATTACTTGGCATTTAAAAAATATACTACCTACATATTTAAAATATAATCTATTTTTTGAATAATTTTATTCGAAACATAAATTAAATTATTTAAAATAGAAATAAATATTATGGACAACGATTGAAAAGATTTGTTTAATATAACTATCTCAAAAATAAATAAAATAAGCGTCAGAAAATTCCCCCAAAACTATTTAAGGGCTTCAGGTTTGTTTTAAAGACAAAGTGTTATAGACCTGACAGAAATCACCACCTCTGCCCCTCCCTGACCCCAGCAACCACAACCACGTGCATTTCTCCCTGCTTTTGTACATTTACTATGTAGATTTCTATTCTCCCCACTCCCCACACACAGTGGGTACAGTGTGAAGTCACTTATTTTTGGAACGTTTCCTAAAAGTTTTCACACGGTGTGGTGTGACATTCTGGATCCTGATGTCCGGTCAGCCCATGGCTTGTCTTTCGATTTTGTTTCTGGGGTCTTTTGTTACATGAAATCTTTATCCTTGACTGTAGTAAAATTGATCATTGTTTTCCTCTAGTTTTTGAGCCGTGTTCAACAAATTCTTCCCTACACTAAAGCCAGAAAGCTATTCTTCTGTATTTTTTCCAAAAATTCATGTGTTTGCTTTCCCATTTAGATAGCTGAACTATGTAGAGATTGTTTTTATTTTAAGATTTTATTTATTTATCAAAGAGAGAGGAGAGAAATATCAGTGTATGGTTGCCTCTCTTGTGTCTCCTGCCGGGAACTGGCCTGCAACCCAGGCATGTGCCCTGACTGGGAACCGAACTGGGATCTTTTGGTTCGCAGGCCCGCACTCAATCCACTGAACTACACCAGCCAGGGCCTATTTTCTAGGCATATGATGGAGATCTAATCTTTTGTTCTATTTACAGCAAATTGTGCCAACACCACATAATCCCTTCCTCCTCCCTGGCTTGTATGGCACTACACCACACGCCATGGTTCATAAGCACAGGAGCCTGAGTCAAGGCTTTCTTCTGTTGCACTGGTCTGTTTACTGTTGGGCTAATTCCATAGTGTTTTGATACACTTTATAATAGGTTTTCTATCTAGTAAGGATAAATCCTGTACTTTGGGATAACTGTATTTCATTAAAACATTTTTTTTTATGTAAAGTTCTTTTTGGTCTTTTACTCTTCCATTAGAATTTTTGAGTCAGCTGATCAAGATCCTCTAAAATGCCTTGAGATCCTGATTAGAATTCTGTAGCATTTAATTATTAATTAGAGATGAATTCTCAATGTTATGAAGTTGAATATTCCCAACAATGAGTTCAGTAGACCTCTCCATATTGTAGTCTCCATGGGTTCTTCAGTAATTTATTTTTTTAATATTTATTTATTTTAGAGAGAGGGGAAGGGAGGGAAAAAGAGAGGGAGAGAGACATTGGTTGGTTGCTTCTTGTATGTACCCTGGCCCAGGGACAAACCCACAACCTTGGCATGTGCCTTGACCCAGAATCAAACTGGTGACCTTTCGCTTTGTAGGATGACACTCAACCAACTGAGCCACACTGGTCAGAGCCTCTTTAGTAATTTATTTTGTGATTTTTATTTGTAAAGGAATTGCACGTATTTTATTGGATTTAGTCTTAGGTATCTTGCATTTTTATTGTTATTGTGAATTAGATCTTTTTCTTCTACATTGAAGTGATTGCTGATACTATAAAGGGTGTTGGTAATTTCTGAATGTTAAACTTAGAAACCACATCCATGTTTCACTCTTACTAATGATTTTTTTAAACATATACAGTCTCTTAGACAAATGATGATTTGTCCTTTTTGTCCTTTTCTTTCCAGTTCTTATAATTTGTTTCTTTTTCTTGTCTTACTGCATTCAGCTAAAATCTCCATTTTTACAGTATTGAATAGTAGCAGGCAATTTTGCTTGTTCCCAACTTTAAGAAGAAACTCTGTTCCCTCACTAATGGCTGTTGGGTGGGGGTGTGGTAGATGTACCAGGGTAAGAAAGTTTCCTTCTTCCCTTCTATTTCTATTGCTAAGCATTTTTCTAGTTCTACTTTCTGTTTTCTATTTCATTGTTAAGAGTTTTTGTTGTGACCGAGTATTGAGTTTTATCAGATAATTTGTCTGCCTATTGAAATAATTTTTCCCCTCGATATGGGTTCATACAGTGATTTATATGGATTGATTTTTCTGCTGCTGAAATATCCTTGCATTGCTGGAATAAACCCATCTTGATAGCCATGCATTATTTGATTAAATGCTGAATTAAATTTATGACTATTTTATTTAGAATTTACACACCTGTATTCAAAACTGAGAGTATCTTTTCCTGTGACATCCTTGCTCAGTTAACAATATTATACATGCCTCTTAAAATGAGTTAGGTAGCTTTCCTTTTTTTTTTCTTTTTACTATTTTCTGAAATGAATTGTAATAAAGTAGGAATTACATCTCTCTTGAACTTTTCTTAAAATGTATTTGATCCCTTTGTCTTTGAGGGCTTTTGAGTTGCAAGGTATGTGGTTAGGGATTAAAAATGGGAATGTGTGAGGGAAAGGGGAGGTTTTAAAATGTAATTCTGTGCCTTAATGGTTATTAATCTGTATGTGCATTGAGTCCATTTTTTAAATGTTTCCATGAAAGTATCCACTTGACATAAAATCGTCAGTTTTTGTCATAAAGTTGTCCATAGCATTCACTCTTGTGCTTTTTATAACATTTAAATAATCTAAAGTCATGCCCTGCTTTGCATTCTTAACGTTGACCTCCAGTAATTTGTAAGCAGTTTGCATAATCAAATATTCTCATTTTATTAATACTTGTTTTTGTTTCATATTTTCTTTTTTATACATGTGACTGTTACTCATTGCTTTAAAGATTTTAAACATTTTCAGTTTAAATCCTTGTCGGTTGTCCCTACTGTTTGCAGTCTCTCTGGAGTGGGTTCATCCGCACAAGGTAGATTAGTTGGCTGGTGTTTTTTGCATTAATTTTGAGTGTTTTTGAACTTTTGTTGGTGAGCTCATCTTAAGGAGGAGACCCTTGCTTGCTTGTTTTATCTTCTCTCTTCCTCTCCTCGCTCCTTCCCATCTCACAGCTTTACAGTTGGTTCTACCTTCAGGTTCCCGATTCCCAGTTCATTCTCTGACACCGGGGTCTTGGGCTCCTGCCCCACGGAGATACTGGAGTTACCAAGGAGCCAGCTGCCGGGCCTGAGGGTGGGTCAGCACAGGTCCTGCTGTGAGGTGGTATCATCTCTGTTTGCAACCAGAGAGGTGTGTGGGGGTGATAGCTGTTTGGGGCTCCTTGTGCAGTAGGTGGTAGACGGGGGAAGGGGGAATGAAACCTAGTTTCAGTCCCTGGCTTCTAGCACAAAAAGCCTGGCTCTGGACGCACACATCCCATGAGACACTTCTACTTCGTTACCTCTCGGAATCAGCCTCCCACCTCCTCGGTTGTGCTCTGACCCCAGAATCCAGCCTCTGCTTGGTGCTCTTTGTTTCTTTTCCTTGGAAGAAAAGTCATGTATTTTTCTGCTCCATAGTCAGACGCAGTATCCATTACACCATTGGCCCCGTACTAGAAAAGTCATGTATTTTTGTGCACGGCTGTCTCTTTGTATGTATTTCTCTTTATCATTGCTGTGTGTTTGTGGGATGGAGGAGGAAAGCGGAGAGCTACACTACCAACTTAGCCAGGAATCCCTTAACCTTGACCACAGCCTATGATAATTCACACTCCTGGTTCTCTTTAACGAAAGAACCAAACTTGTCACGTGGCCTGAGAAAAGCAAAGGGAGGATTCATTTGACCGGCTCTTGAATGGGATCTACTTGACTCTTTCCACTCATACCTTTCCCCCTCTCTCCCTCAGAGCAGGAGAAGATGGGATAACGGAGCAACCCGGGGGGTCGGGAACGACTCCTGTCACTGAGAAAGTGGCTCTGCAGTGGGATTATGCACTCACAAACACTAGGTAGGGGTGTACTTTTCAGCATGAACTAACTCCAGCCAAGCCCACCCACCGAAACCCCCCCTCGCCCGCATGCTCAGTCAGCTGGCCTGGCTCCACCCTTGGTGGCTGTTCTGGCATGGGGTCTTTTCCTAGAAAAGCTGTCCTTTCTCCAGGCTTTTATGTAAATCACATGCCTTAAGGTGGACAATCTGGTCCGGTTCTTTCAATCTCCAAGTAAACCTGTTTTCGCTCACGTCTTCCTGAGCATAAAGTCTCAGTAGGTTTCTCTCTAGGAGTTTCAGCTGATGGCAGGAACAGGTCTCAATTCCTGTAAACCTTCTGTGCTCTTCCTGGGCCCCGTGACCTTCCATATCACAGGGAAAAGCTCTGTGCATCTCAGCTCCTAGTAGTAAGTGGAACCAGGATGCAAGCAAAGTGTGACGACCAGGCGTACCATAAAGCATTCAAACAGACAGCAGAAGATGGCATAGTGGAACCGAACAGAACCAGGAAAACAACCTCTAAAATATAAGATAAAATTTCAACAAACTCCCTATGTTTTAAATTAATTTATTTTCTAATTTTATTAATTTTTTGCAGTGATACTGGTTAATAAAATTACGTCGGTTCCAAGCGCACAGTTCTAATGCATCATCTCGGCATTGCACCGGGTACTTACCGCCCAAAGCCAAGTCTCCTTCCGTCGCCCAATAGTTGACTTCCTGTCCCTCTGGTAACCGCCAGACTGTTGTCTGTGTCTGCGAGTGTTTGTTTGTTTGTCTTGTTTGTTCATTTGGTTGTTTTCAGTTTCATATCCCACATATGAGTGATATCATATGGCTCTTGACTTTTTCCGTCCGACTTATTTCGCTTAGCATGATACTCTCAAGATCCATCCGCGTTGTTACAAGTGGCAGTATTTCATGTTTTCTTATGGTTGACTTGCATTCCACTGTCTAGATGTACCACACCTTCTTTATCCAATCATCTCTCTAAGGGTGCCACAGTTGTTCCCTTATCTTGGCCACCATGAATAATGCTGCAGTGAACATAGGGACACATAAATGTATTTATTTTCCAACCCGACGAACAAACCCTTCTGAAGCACCTTCTGAGGCACAAGACCCACGAACACAGAGAGGCTGTGACATGAAGAAGCCACCAGAACAATGCACATTAAGACAGTGAGGCTTCTCGAAAGACAGTGCTCTGACATCTGCCCTTTCTTGCCCAGAGAGGAAACTCAGAGACATGGTGACTATTGCCACCAAAACTTTCCTCCGTCCCCACAAGCTCATGGCCATGCTCCGGAGTCTTCGTGAGTATTACCCAGACTTGACTGTGATCGTGGCTGATGACAGCAAGGAACCTTTGAAAATTAATGACAACCGCGTGGAGTACTACATCATGCCCTTTGGGAAGGTATGTCCCTCCCAGGTGGGGAGACACAAGAGGGCCCCAGAGTCAGGTGCCACCCTGGACGGGGCTGCTTCAGTGGCCTTCCCAAGGAAGCCCGGTCCTAAGTGGGAAGGAGTAAGACTCTTCTCTGGGTCCCCTCGCTGACTCCAAATTCACAGAGAAATCAGGCCACTCTCACTTTCCTGAATTAACGGGGTGGCTAATCTGATTCTCCTCATACCTGGTGTGGAAGTTGACCGAGGTCCTGCTAAGTGATTTGAGGTGTCTGACGTCCCAAGGAGTCCTGACATATGGCTCCAACAGCAGAGAGACTTCTCGTCCCTGTGATGCCGCCCCAGCTGGAGCAGCCGTCTCTCTGTCTCTCTCTGCCACGCCGCACCTTCCTCCAGAGACACACAGAAGGGAGTGGAGCTGTACGTAGTATCCATTCCTTCCAACATCTTCCAGGCAACACAAGGAGGCATGGAAGGAGAGCCACAGAGATTCTATCAGATGGGAAAGAGCTTCAGTCCATCCATACTGGCCACGGGGCCAAGAAAGGGCTTTTTAGTCTCTTTCTTAGGTCCACAAAGTCACTGTCCTTCTTCCCGTGTCTCTGAGACGTGGGCTCCCTTTAACCCTGTGGCTCTGAACCGCAGTCGTATCCTGGATTCACTCCCACAAAGTCTGACTTCATTTGTCCGAAGTGCAGCCTAGTTATCGGGACTGAGAAAGCTCCCTCATGTGATTATGCTCATGGTGACCACTGATCGAGCCTCATTCCACCTGCAGGGCTGGTTCGCTGGTAGGAATCTGGCCATATCTCAGGTCACCACCAAATACGTTCTCTGGGTGGACGATGACTTTCTCTTCAACGACAAGACCAAGATTGAGATGCTGGTGGATGTTTTGGAGAAAACTGAGCTGGATGTGGTAAGGAAGGGTTGCCCATTTTACCTCAGTTGCAACCTGTAGAAACATCCAAGAGAGGGAAGGAGAGAAGGGAAGAGAGGAAAGTATGTGAGGGACGAGGAGAAGAAAAGAGAGGAGAGGGAAGAAAGGAAGGAGAGGGAGAGGGGCTGATGTAGGAGATGAAGAGCCGGCACAGTCTGGGGTTCAGAGCATCACACCAGGACTCGGGAGACGCGCGAGGTCTGTTTCTGCCTCCATATGTACTTTTCCTGGAGAAAATGATGGCCCCACCCCAACCCGCCATTGTTTCATCTTTCAAACGATGCGTTTCTGCATCACTTCTAACCTCCTCCCTGGGGTGGTGTGAGAGGAAAGAGCAAGCAGTGCTGTGACTCTGTCACTCACACCTGAAAATAAGTGTCAGTGGTGCAAAGCTTTAAAGGCACACTTGTCCCTCACGACAGTTTAAGAAGAAGAAAATAATAACAACATCGCAAGTCAGGGCACATACAGAACAGGGAAGAGAAAGGTACTGGTAGGGAACAGTGCTGCACCGTGTTCCGGGACTTTGGGGGAGGACCGATCTCACGTCTTCTCAGCACACGCAGTGATACTTACGTTACACTGACAGGTCAGTCAGCTTGACTGCGGCGACCCTTTCACATGTGTATACATGTCAAAACATCAAGCTGTATACCTTAAATATGCACAATTTTAACCTGTCAAAGGTATCTCAACAAAAGCTCTTTTCAAAAAAAAGAAAGAAAGTGGATGAGGGCCATCGTGACCACAGCCAACTCTTACCCCAGATGGACAGTCCCCAGAGCATCCAGGTGACTGCTCCGGTCTCTCGGCTACTCCTCCAGAGACCAAATCAACAGCGCAAATGAGAGAGAAGGTGTGGCTCCCGCATGTGTTGGAATCCGAGCTGGCCCTTGACCCTGCCTCCGAGGTCATCCTGGACCAGCTTCCTTCTCTTGTTGCTCCATCGCTCTCGGGTCCTCAGCTGCCAGGCCAGAGGGGAGGGGGAGCAAAGAAAGTTTCATTTCCTTTGAAAAATGTGATCTATCTAAATCGTGGCCCGTCAGCCAGGACTTAGCCACATGGTCAGACCTTGCAAAGGAAATGGGGACATTTCTTCTTTAGCTGGGTAGTGAACTAACTGTATCTTAATATAATCCACTTAAAACTCAGACGGTTCATTTATGAAAAGGAAGGAGGAAAGAACAGGTGACGGGGGACAGCAGTAGGCTGTGCTATGCCATCTCAAATGATGATGATGGTTCAGGAATAGATGTACTCGTTTGTCCTGTTCTGCTTGGGCTCAGGTATGGAAGTGCCCGTGTCCCCCATGAGTGCAGGGACAGCTGCTCAGACAGGTGAGTGGGGAGCAGAGAACGGGAGGACAGACTTCAAAAAGCTGCAAGAAGCCCAACAGGGGAGACTCTACCACACACAGACCACTGCACGCTCTTGCTTTTCCAAATACTGCTCCTCCTAATGGAAGGAAGTGAGTTACCTTCTTCTGGAAAGGACGAGCTTGCTGGTAGGCCAAGCAGAGCAGAGAACGTGTCTGCCCTTTCGACCTGGTGTAAGTGCTTTCTGCTCTTACCAACCAGATTTTCTGGGGTGAGTAGGAACGAAGGATCAAAGGACCCTGCAGTCGGTGCTGAAGGCTGTGGCTGCCATAGCGAGAGAGTAACTGAGGGACAGTATGAAGGGTAGATCGAGAAAGGGTGTGATTCTTGTAACTGAGGTTCAGTCCTCGCAGAGACAATTTGGATGTTGGGTCTGTGTTCACTAATGCGGATTTCCCTGTGCATGGGCTAGGTAGGCGGCAGTGTGCTCGGAAACGTGTACCAGTTTAAGCTGTTGCTGGAACAGGGTGAGAATGGCGACTGTCTTCACCGGAGGGTAGGATCTTTCCGGCCCCTGGACGGCTTCCCCACATGCACGGTGACCAGCGGCGTGGTCAACTTCTTCCTGGCCCACACAGACCGGCTGCTGAGAGTTGGCTTCGACCCCCGCCTGCAACGGGTGGCTCATTCAGGTGGGGAGGCCGGAGGAGGGAGGGCGGCCGCTGGTTTATGAGCTGGCCTTAGAAGTTTGTTCTTTCCGTAGCATTGCTCCACTGATCACAGCCACTTGCCCGGCGACTGTGTTTCCTGTCCCTTTCCTCCCAAATTAAGGAGTTCGTGGCCTCTTCTGGCTCCCTCTTCACCTTCTCCTTGACTTCTTGCCCCCTGCAGGCTATTCCCATTCACCTGAGACACCCTTCCCCTTCATTGCTCCCCCTCTCAACAGCTCTGTCCACACCCTCTTTCCCCACCCTGCTTCCTATTCTCATTTTCCCTAAAATCCTTTCCTATTTATCTGCAACTGGTTAACTGCCCTCCTTCTTTCCCCTCTTATTCCCTCAATCCTGGAGTCCACAGTCCGTCCGGCTGGAAAGCTAATCTGTGTTTCTCTGCCTCTCTACCCACATCTCTGTCTGAGAAATGAGCGTATTGATTTCCTTCCAAATCAGCTTGGCCAGGTGGCTCTGCAGGAGGCTGAACCTCCCCTAAGGGTAGAAACTGTGTCTCCTTCCCCCGGACTCTCCTCCCAGACCTGGAATATGGCCCTGGGTCTCTGGCTGAAGCTCACATTTCCTTCTCCTGCTCCCCCTCTCTTGGCAGAGTTCTTTATTGATGGGCTTGGGAGCCTGCTCGTGGGGTCCTGCCCAGACGTGATCATAGGTCACCAGGGCCATACATCAGAGGTAGACCCGGAGCTGGCCGCCCTGGAGGAGACCTACAGCAAATACCGGACCAACACCGATGCCCAAATCCAGTTCAAGATGGCTCTCCACTACTTCAAGAACCGCCTCTACTGCCTCACATAAAGGTGCCCAGACATCGGAAGAGCACCAGGTCCACCGGCTGGGGGTGTCTGGAGCAGTGGGGCCAGCGGCCAGGCTACCAAACAGTGGGCTCCTAAAAAGATGAACATTATCACAAACCACATAGTGTATAGGGCAAATGGGGTGGATTTGGTTACTGGAAAGACCCATCGAAGGCTAGCGGTCATTAGCCCCGGTCACTGATCAGGGCAATGGAGACCATATTAATGATGATTATTTATTTGTTCGATGCCTTGCTATTGATGAACCATTTGCACATATAGTATCTCACATCATTTCCTTAGGTCTCACAGGAAAGAGGGTTCGTATCTTCAGTCAAAAGACAGGCTGGCTGCTGGGTCCTTGAGGGTTATTTGGTGGCAATTATGTAACAGCCAGAGCATCATCTCCAGCATCACTGTCATCCACACATTTTTATTTGGTCCTACCTTTCGGATTTAGATGATGGGAACAGCCCATGATCCTTGCCTTGAGGAGGTCGTAGCTTGATTCAGTTCAGTCCACTTGCACCATCGGGCAGCCAGGGTCAGAGGACCAGAGGGAGAAGTCACGTGGCCCAGGCAGCTGAGGACGGCTCTGTGGGGTGAGCTTTTCGGCACCTGGAAGATGGATGGGATTCAGGCAGTTGGAGGGCGGGCGGGGAGCGTGGGTAGTCTGCTGTCTGCGAGGACAGAGGTTTTCCTGGCATCAGACTTGCTACCACAAAGACACATTCCAGAACGCCAGGGATTGAACTTGGACCACACTCTAAGGTGACGTGATAAAGAACATGAGTGTGGTGGCAAGGCACTCAGTTCCTGGGACCTGAGACCAGTGACTGACTACCCTAGACCCATGTCACCTGCAGCATGGGGCCACCACCTGTTGTTGAGAAAGGCACTCTGTCGTCTTTGGAGCCTGCAGGCTCTACAATCGCTGCCCTGGCCCCGCTTACGGTCCCCTCTCTTTCCTACGGAAGATGCATGTCTGAAAGCCATTAATAAAACTTCGTGAAAAGTATTTCAGGCCCTGGCTGGGCAGCTCAGTTGGCTTGAGTGTTGTCCTGCTACACCGAGGTGGTGGGTTGGGTCTCCAGTCATGACATATATAGGAAACAATCAATGAGTGTGTAAATAAATAAATTGATACACACACATATGCATATATCAATGGTCAAATACATTTCAAAAAAATTACAATTCACATTAGCATAGTAAAGGCTCTGAGAAGTTCTGCAGTAGAGAAACCGGTTTAACTTTAATTCAGCATTTCTCAGGGATGGATATAGGCTGGCCATCATTTTTTTCCCCCAAATTGGAATTGAACACATAGACCTCTTTCTATTGTTGTCATAAAGGTTTTTAGGTGCCCTGTCTGGCGTGGCTCAGTGGATTGAGCACAGGCCTGCCAACCAAAGGGTCGCTGGTTTGATTCCCAGTCTGGGCACAGGCCTGAGTTTTGAGCCAGGTCCCTGATGGGGGAGGGTGCATGAAAGGCAACCACACATTGATGTTTCTGTCCCTCCCTTCCCCTCTTTCTAGAAATAAACAAAACCTTTTAAAAAAGATTCTATTGCAAAAGTTTTTCTAGCTTTAACTAACATGCACAATCACTTCATGTAATAACAGCATATGCATTTTATGGGCAGTAGTGTTCGACAGGACAAGGCTCTCAAGGTCCAGGCAGTTCTTACTAAGTGCCATTCTTGCTAAATGTTGTGTAAAATGCAGCACAGTATTTGGCAGGTGCAGCCGTAGTCAGAGGAGCTTCACCCAAACCCAACCAGATAAGTTTAGCCAACTGCGAAGAAGCAATCAACATTAATGTTAACGAGTAGTACGTATAAGCGGTGGTTCAGCCTCCTTTTCTGGGAGACAGAGCTTTGGGTGTGACTCCCGTCTCCAAAACTGCCTCGTAACAACCATGCCTCTTTCCTGAACAGGACACCCCAGGGGCGAACCCCTTGAGTTGGGTAACATTCACAAGCCTGGGGGTGGTCCCAGGAGTTTTAAACTCACCAGTTATTATCAGTCGGATTTTTAAAGGAACTGAATTGCCCACGAGACCTCAAAAACCTACAGGTTTTCTGTTCTTTCCAGTCAATTCCAGACATCTGGTCTAGACATAATCTCTGAGTGGGAAATCCATTCTGGTAACCACAGGCCTCTATGCCTTGCCTATTCCTTGGCACTCAGTTAAGTGGTCTCTGCCCTCAGTCTATTCAAAATCTGCATCTAAGGTACAGAGAGACCATTTATAATCTCTTTCTTGCCCCCCACGTTTTTCCTCATTGTGGGCAGTAAATGTTGGAAGCTTTGCAAGGGAGTAGGCTGGTCTTTTTGCTCAAACTGGTCTTCGGCTGTCTCTTCTCTCTGCCGGTGCTTTCTCTTGGGGAAGAGGATTCAGCCTTTCCAGCCCTGCAAGGCTCCAAACTATAGGGCTTTCAGTAAACTTGGACTGCAAACCATTCTCAGCAAGAGCATATTACACCTGCTTTTAAAACAGGGTGTCTCAGCCCAAACCTCGTCTCTCCTCTAGGACCATCCTGAAGACCACGTGAAGTCACTGACACGCACCAACGTCCTCCTCTGTTCCGACCACTTCCTATTCTTGATATTCTACTGTCTTGGGAGACAGTCTGTGTTCCAGACACCGGCAACGGTTTCAGGATCACCAGCTTCCCACAACGTCACTGCTCTCTCCCCCAGCCCTTCTGCACAATGCTACGTCTACTCACCTTCACAGAGGATTCGCATCTGCATACAGTTCTTTTTCTTAATCTTTTGCTGGGATGCTCCCACTGCCTTTATACCCTTCCGTCTTCCCGCTCCGGCTTTGAACAAGTCTTCTATATAAAATCTATATTTCTCATCCTCCTTTCAAGTTTACCAGGAGCTTGCCAAGGTTTCCATTCTGTAACTGAGTAACCTGCGTAACCGCATGTCTGTTTCCTCTCCCAAACGCTCCGAGAAGGACCCCTGCTCCTGCATGTAAGGACTCAGAAGGCGTTACTCACAAAAGGGGAAAAAAAGGGATACATCTGACATGATCAAAATGAAAACCTTCTGCTAATCAAAAGACACAATTACAAAAGTGAAAAAAATAAGCCACAGACTAGAAGAAAATATCTATGATACAGATATTTGGTAAAAGATCCATATCACGTATATGTAAACAATTCCTATAAGTTAATAAGATGACAATCTTTTTAAGTGGGCAAAATACTTGAAGAAACACTTAGAAAAAAATATAACCAAATGGCTAATGAGCATGTTTAAAAAAAAAAAGATGTTCAACTTTGTGAACCAACAGGAAACTGCAAATTCAAGCCACAAGGAGAGATTGTTATACACCCACTAGAACGACTGAATTTACAGGACTAATAGCTAAGACGTGGAGCAGCTGGGACGCTCGTACACTGCACGTGGGAGTGTAAAATTGTACGGCCACTTTGGCAAGCTGTTTGGTAGTTCCTGATAAACAAAAATGAACATCTAGCCTGTGACCCAGCAATTCCATTCCTGGTTATATACCCCAAACCAAATGTCTGCAGGAGAATGGTCATAGTAGCTTTATTTATATTAGATCCAAGATGGAAAAAACCCAAACGTCCATCAACTGGAGAAGGGACCAAGAAATTGTGGTGTATTCATACAGTGGACTCCTACTTAGCAATAAAAACATGCTGTTGATACATAAAGTGCAATGGATGACTCTTAAAAAACATTGTTAACTGCAAAACAGTATCATTTGTCTGGCTTCCTATTATATATATAAACTTTAAAGTAGGCAAAACTATTTTTTGGTGATAGAAACCAAAGTAGTGCTTTTAGCCCTGGCTGGTATGGCTCAGTGGATTGAGTGCCAGCCTGCAAACTGAAAGGTCACAGGTTTGATTCCCGGTCAGGGCATAGGCCTGGGTTGTGGGCTAGGTCCCCAGTTGCGGGTGTGCAAGAGGCAGCTGATTGATGTTTCTCTTCCCCCCTCTCCCCTCTCTCTTAAAGTAAATAACTAAAAAAATCCTAAAAAAAATAAAAGACTGAAAATCCCAAGCATTTAAAAGACAAACGAAACTGAAATAGTGAATTCAGGGGAGCAGGGTAAGTAATCACTAAAACAGGGCACCAGGGAATTTTCTGTGGTGACGAAAACTCTTTATAACTTAAAATTTGTGTATAAAAGTTTTCATTTCTCAATTGCAGTTTACATTCAATATAATTTTGTACTAGTTCAGGGGTATAGTACAGTGGTCAGACAGGCACGCATTTTACAAAGTGTCCCCTGATGGTCCCAGGGCCCACCTGGCACCACGAGGGTCACTCCAAGCCAATGCTCTACATGTTAATGTAGGTGGTGGTCACACAGGTGTAAGTGTTTGTCAAATAGTGATTTCAGTTCAGAGTGGTGCATTTTACTTTATGTAAATACTATCTCAATAAAACACCACTGAACAAGAATGAGGTCTGTTTTACATACACTGTCAGGGAACGGCCCTCAAGATAACGAGAGCTAAGTAAACAGAACAAGGTGCAGAGACTGTTTTGATTTTTTAAAGAGAAGGAATGTGCATATACAGGGATATTTTTATAAGAATAAAATAGCTCTAGAAGAAGAGTATCAGAAGTTGCCTCTAAGTAAGAACAGGAAAGTTTCATCAGGAAGTTTTATTTGGCTATGTATTTCCTTTCATGCCCTTTGAATTTTGTATCATGCTCATGTTTAAATATTTACCCATTTAAATATTTTAAAAATTTTTAGGAAAGAAAAAGCCAGAAGCCTTTGTAATATCAAGTTATTATTATGTTAAGTACCAAAACAGAACAAAATTTACATAGATATGTGTGCACACACACACACATCCAATACAGCAAGACTGACTATGTAAACATACATTTTGAAAAAAAGGAAATGATCCCTGGCCGACGTAGCTCAGTGGGGTGAGGACCACCAGCCTGTGAACCAAAGCATCGCTGGTTTGATTCCTGGTCAGGGCACGTGCCTGGGTTACAGGCCAGGTTCCCAGATGGGGTTGTCTGAGATGCAACTGATGGATGTTTCTCTTGCACATTGATATTTCTCTCTCTTTCTCCGTTCCTGCCCCCCCAAATAAATTTTAAAAATTTAAAAAGTATTTAAAAAAAGGAAATGAAACACATCAACTGTTAAAAGTGCTTGTTGGGACTGTGGTTATTTTTAAATCTTTCTACTTTACTGCCTTTTCTATATTTTCCATTATAAATGTTTTACTTGTACAATCTGATAAGATAAAATCATTATTTAAAAAGACAAAGTGAAAACACTACAGGAAAAAAAATGAAATGTGGATGCCGCTTTGTTCAAAATAAGTATGTGGCCAGATTTCCCCGTCAGAGTCTCCCGAGGAATGCCGGGCCCAGAGCAGGGGGCTGGGAGTAGGGGTTGGGCGGGGCCCGCTGGGAGACTCAGAGCATCACTTGTCACCCGGCACAAGGAGGTGCTGACGGATTGCCTGGCACAGCCAGAGCTCCCAAGGCAAAGCGGAGGATTTGTGGCAGGCAACACCTAACCTGGGTGGTGAGGACACAGAGCAAGGCAGATGCTATCCCAGCTCACTGCGAGTGGCCTCAGCAAGGATAAAGGAAAGCGATGAACCTTGATAATGAACATGAATACTTTTCACTTTAACTACTCAAGAGCATCACTGCATCTATTATCCTATCCATTTATTATCTGTTTATACAGGCTCACAAGAAACTTGGGAGAAAAGTCCCTTATCCTGGACTTCAGCCCTCTTTTCTTAAACCCTGGCCTCACTGTACTTTCTGAGGTACACTCTGCCCAAGTTCAGCCTTTAGACTGAACCTCACCTCAGGCTAACCCCACCTGGGATAGAGCCTTGACTTAAGGGGCCACCTAAGTGGAGGGTTAAAGTCTGTTCTCCAAGATGGCAAAGATGTCTTTGGGATGTCGGGCCCTGTCGATTTATGTTAAAAGAAACTAGTCATGCTGGGTCAAGGAGATGACATGTTCTCTCTGTTTTTATCTGTCTCTGAGCACGAAATTGTAAGTTGTTTCTTCACCTAAGTTCTCCTGGGCCCTCTAAAGGGGTTCAGTGAAGTGTTTGGTAAGGCATTAGACACATTCAAAGATCAGCAAGTCCTGGGTCCTGTCCCCAACGGAATTCACAGCCCAGCCAAGGAGGGGAGAGAGGAGATGGGGGGGGGGGACTGAACTGCAGAACACAGTTACCTGTACTTCCAGCGAGTCACGACAAAACCTGTAAGAAAGACAATCCTCCTGTAGCGCTTGAGGAGTAGAGTTTCAGCCAGGGTCTCATGTGAGCTGGCAAGATTTTTCTCAAGCTGAGGAAGGAGGTGGGAACTGCAAAAGAAGTACTAGGAAAGGGAGTAGGGGAAGTGGGAGGAGGAAGTCACTCCTTCACCCTTGTCCCGGACAGAAGGTACCATCTCCTATACACTTTCAAAATCTATAATCGTCACCCTTTAGGGTTTCTACAGTAGTTTCTGAAAATTAATTGCAATACACTTTCACGGAGCCCTTGTAAGAAGGAAATAGATGGGAAAGCTGAAGCCCAGAGATGCTAAAGCCATTTGACATTAAGTCAATTCGATATTAAGTCACTCCAGCCTTAACAGAGGGACACCTTGACCTCAGCAAAGGAGCTCAAGGGGAGTTTGGTTCAGTCCTCAAAATGGAGAATTGCTCATTTCTTTTGACAATATATAAGAGTTACACATTTTTTCAAGCAATACAGTAAAATAGACCCTCATAAATTCACTCCCCAGAGATAATTGTCGTCAACAGACCTTCCACACTTTGGGCTAAGAAGGTTCTTGACTGTATGGAACAGAATGGACTTTGAGTGCCTTAAACAGAAAGGGGGCTTGTTGGGAGGAGGCCAGACAGCTCAGAGCACCAATGGGAAAGCACAGGCAGGAAAAGGGGCAAGAATGGGGGGTGGGGGTGGGGGCGCGAGGCAACCAGGAACCAAGCCAAGGTCAGGATCCTGGACAGTCTGGTTAGGGTGCCACTTCTGTTGCCAGTGGACATGGATGGATGGCTACCATCACTGGTCCTGTGACCCTGGGGGTCACAGCCACCGCCAGCTGCAGGACAAGTTCTAAAACATCCCTGCTTCTGGGATGTTTTGGAATCTTAGAACTGGATTCTAAGTCCAACTGGCCAAAGGAAGGACACTCACTTTCACTCCGGCTACCAGAAGCCTGGAGAATAAATACATCTGTCGTGGAGACAGCCCTGCCACCCAGACCCACAGCACTGGATGCCTCAAGAAAGGGGAGCAGATGTCACAGAGCAAATAAACGGCAAAGGTTTATTACGTAGTCACACAGCTTTTCTGTATACGTGGGGTTTTATTACACACACTAATTGGTAAGTAGATTTTTGTTTTTGCTTAGGCCTGTATCTCTTTTCATGTTAATACAATAACTCATCTCTTAAATTTCTGCACAGTATTTATGGTATTGATAGTTAATATTTGTTTAATCAGTTTTCACTTAATGGGCATTTAGTGTCTGTTCTTTACTGTTATAAGTAACACAGCCGAGACCACCCCAAACATTTGCATTTGTCCCGGTCGTTCTTTAGATGAGGTTCCAAAAATGAAATGGCCGCGTCAAACGGCAAATAAAATTTTATCTGTCTCCCGATCTACATGAAGGAACATTACCCATTTATATGTTTACCAAAACTAAGGACAAAATCCAAAAGGGGCTCTCTCTTTCAGCTGATTGTAACACACCTGTTAAACGGAACCACGCACGGAGTGGCTTTGAAAGTTGAGCACGAACTGGAAGTGAAACCTTCTGTGCAGAAAACTCCGCTGCCTCCAGCCACGTGAGGCTCCAGGAATCCGGTGGGGTGCACGCCCCGGCCAAACTCGTGCCTGGCGCGCTCGGGCTTTGAACCCCAGTGCCCTCACGTGCCAGTCCGCTTTCCTCCCCACTCGGCTAAACGACCCCCTTCAGAAAACCGGTTTGCAAATAAATAAACAAACAAACAAGTATGAAGCCCAGGATGCGGGCGCCGAACTTCCTGCTGGGGGGCTGGGAACTGGAAGCGGCCTTGGCCTCCGCTCGGCCAGGCACCGCGGGCCGCCGTCCGCCTAGAGCGCCCTCGCCGGCTCGCGGTCCTCCCGGTTCCCGGGACGCGCGGGCCGTGACCCCGGGGGGACCGCAGGAAGAGGGGACGCGGACGACATCCCAGCACCAGAAAGACGCGGGACGCCGAAGCCCGCGTTTTTCGCTTCCGCCCGCCCCTGCGTCCTCGGGCCCAGCGCCCAGGTCGGCGGACTCCACACGGACCGCCACTTTGTGAAGATAAGTCGGCCCTCTGATTATATGATTTGAGAAGAAGCCCGGCCGCCTAAAGCAGCCAGCAGGTCCCATGGTGTAATGGTTAGCACTCTGGACTTTGAATCCAGCGATCCGAGTTCAAATCTCGGTGGGACCTCTCCAAATGTTTTTGGTTCTGCAAATTCTGTTTTGGCCAATACATGGCGGCAACCATCACTCCGAGCCGTGCCGTCGCCCCTGCGACCTGCTGGACTGCGGTTTAGGGTCCCTCCCCTTCTCTCGAGATGCTTTCATTGCAAGGCCGGCCCATAGGTCTCAGTGCGCATGCGTCAGACTCGGGGGCGGAAGAAAGTGTGTCTGCGGGAGACTTGACACCGGAGCGGACAGCGGGAAACCAGAAGGGTCCCGGGGGGTCCTGCTCCGGGCGCGCGGCAGAGTGCGACACGTGGGGCAACCGGAGGAACCATAAGGGTCCCGGGGATCCTGCCTCGGGCGCACGGCAGCGGCAGAGCTACACGTTTCTGTTGTACAAAGCGGGACGAACTGACCCACCGACCTGAGCGGAGCGCGCAGGGATGACCGGCTGGGGAGGAGCGTGGGGTTTGGGGGTCAGCCCAGGAGTAAGTCCCTCCCGTAGGTTGTCCAGGTCTGTTTTGGTTGTACGGTATTCAAGCAGTAGACAGCAATTTCTGCGTCTTTTCCTTTTTTAATAGGTTCTTTAAAATTTTTTTAAATTAAAGTTTACATTCCATATTAATTTTGTATTAGCTTCAGGTTCGCTGCATAGTGGTTAGACAATCATATACATTATGTTCCCCCTGACATTTCCAGTACTCAACTGGCACCATGCATAGTTATTACAATATTATTGACTACTATGCTGTTCAATGTCTTTTTTAAAATTTTTAAAATTGGTCTGAGAGAAACATCAATGTGTTGTTCCACTTATTTAGGTATTCATTGGCTTCTTGTATGTGTCCTGACCGGTGATTGAACCCCGAAACCTTGGTGTATCTGGATGACGTCCTAACCAACGGAGTCTTTCTTAAAGACTTAAAGGGCCCAAAATCTTTCTTAAAAATTTTTTGGGGGGGCGGGGAACGGGGTATCCTCAGTTAAGCTTATCCATTCCTCAGTCTGTCTTAGTGGATCAGGTTATCTCTCCCGTCAGTTTCTCATTGTATTAATGCATTATTTCTCCTGAGCAGAGGGTAGGGCTCTCTACATGGTTCACCAACGGAGATTCGATCCTGAGCGAATCTCTATACTGGCAAATCTGTCTTGAATCTGCGTTTTGGGTGCTGACAGGCCCACGTGATTTGCAGGAAAGGGTGTACCTTTGGAAGAGCAGACAAAAGACGTTCAGGGAGTGCTGTCTTCTTTGATTGGCATCCAGGTTTTGAGAGCTGTATGTCCCTCTGGGATAAGTGACAGGGATCCCGCTGACGCATTTGCGACCTCCCCATGGGGTGACCGTGACCCGCAGGCGCTGTGGTTATAGTTCCCGCCCCTTGGGAAGATGCCTTGGTAACAGAGAGGCTCCTCCCATTGCTCTGAATCTCTCCCGGGGCGCTCCTCTCTCCATTCCATCCCCCCACCCCCACCCCGCGCTCCTTAAAGGTTTGAATGGATTTGTGTGTATGAGCCAACCCAGCCTCAAAAGTACCTAGGCATGAGAGGTGGGGACTTGCTCACCAGATGTTAAAGCCTATTGTCAACCATAAACTATAGGAGTTGATAGCATGGTACTGGTGTGGGGATACTGTGCAAACATACCCGTGAAGCAGAACTGAAAGCCCGGATGCAGCCCTGCACGTACTTGGACAAGTGATTTATGACGAAGGTAACACAACGGGGCAGTAGACAAAGGACCTACTTTTCAATAAATTATTCTGGGACAATGGATGTCCTATGGAAAAATATGAGGTCAACTTATACTAAGCAGGGCAATAAATTCCTTGGGAACTGTAGACCTTTGAAAGGAGAAAGCAATAAAGCTTTTGGAAGACAAGTACGAAAATATTTTTATCACCTCGGAGTAGGGAAAGTCTTAACCAAGACACAGAATGTTCTACAAGTTTCATCTATGCCATCATATTAATATGACGTTCTATGTTCTTCTCATCAAAGATCTGAGTAAGAAAGTGAAAAGGGCCCTGGCTGGTGTGGCTCAGTGGACTGAGTGCTGGCCTATGAACCAAAGGCCGCCGGTTCAATGCCCAGTCAGGGCACATGCCTGGGTTGCAGGCCAGGTCCCCAATGGGAGGCACGTGAGAGGCAACAACACATTGATGTTTCTCTCCCTCTCTTTCTCCCTCCCTTCCTCTCTGCCCAAAAGTCAATAAGAGAAAAGAAAAATAACCTAATGGAAAAACAGCAAAAGACTTGACATGGCACTTTACAAGAAAATTCAATAATAATGTACACCATTAGTGATCAGAAAAGTGCAAAATTGAAAGTGAGCTGCCACTGCACGCTCACAAGAATGACAATGCTGAATGTTGCCCACAGAGCGGGACTCAGACCAGCATAACGCACTTGGAGGATGCCGAGCCTCACACAAAGACACTGATAAGTTTCCTCCTGTGATCGTGCTTAACCCACGTTTAGTAAAACACTTAGGAGCTCACCCCCAACCTGGCCGTCACTCCCCCTCCCAGCTCCAGCGACTCCGAACCCCCCTCCACATTTCCTCCTCTTTCCAACCCTAGTAATTCAGGGTCCCTCTTCCTCCCTAACAGCCTGTCCAATGGTTTTATGGTTTTATGGTTTTATTCTCTTGAAGGGCCCCGAGAACAGCACTTTCCAGAAGATGGCGCCTGCAGCCTATTGTTCCTGGACAGAGTCACCAGCAGAGGGCAGAGTGCCAGGACCGCTGGGGAAGCCGGGCCTTGTGCTAGATTCCCTGGGTAGTCCATTATCTCCTTCGTTTATTCTTTATACATCACATAATGTATACATAACATTTATCACGATGCCTCCCACACAGTAAGCCCGTAAGTGATATAACAGGCAGTGCCATTTAACACCCATTTGTTGAGCACCTACCATGTTCTGGGAGCTGGAAACACAAAAATCGAAGACTTGACCCATGCCCCCAAAGGGCTTGAACTCTTGACCGTTAAATCAGAGACTGAAGTCCAGTGTAAAATGAAAAGCGATAGACTCAGGAGCATTTGTGGACACAAAGGAAAGTAAAATCCAACTAGGTATGGTTTAAAAAAATCCAGAGAAAAAGCTCAGAATGGCATGAAAGTGCTACCATTTGTGTAAAAAGGAGGAGGACGTTTCTATGTATTGGCTTGTACCTAGAGCCCTGGCTGGTGTGGCTCGGTGCACTGAGTGCCGGCCTGCGAACCAAAGGGTGGCTGGTTGACTCCCAGTCGGGGCGCGTGCCTGGATTGTGGGTCAGGTCCCCAGTAGACAAGAGCTCAGCCAAGCCCTGCAGCAGACAAGACCTCATGCCTCCAGACAGCAGGGGTGAGATCCGGGAGGCACTAGGGGTGAGAGGTGGGGGAGGGCTGGACTGTCTGATTCACTAGGAAGGATTTCAGCTTTTGCTGGGTAGAGCAATCTTGGTTGTAGGTCTTTAGTTTTCATGACTTGGAATATTTCTTTCCAGCCCCTTCTTGCCTGTAAGGTCTCTTTTGAGAAATCTGCTGACAGCCTGATGGGGACTCCTTTGTAGGTGATTGTCCCCTTAGCTCTTGCTGCTTCCAGGATTCTCTCCTTCGTTTTAATTTTGGCTAATGTAATTATGATATGCCTTGGTGTGTTCCTTCTTGAGTCCAACTTTTTTGGTACTCTCTGGGCTTCTTGGATTTCTTGGAAGTCTGTTTCCTTTGCCAGATTGGGGAAATTTTCTTTTATTATTTGTTCAAATAGTTTTTCCACTGGTGGTTGTGTCTTTTCCCCCTTCTGGTACCCCCTATAATTCGGATATTGGAGCGTTTATAGATGTCCTGGAAGTTCCTAAGCTTCTCCTCATTTTTCTGAATTCTTATTTCTTCATTCCTTTCTGATTGATCCTTTTTCTCTTCCTTCTGGTTTACTCCATTGAGTTGAGTCCCAGTTTTTTTTCATCTCTATGGGTTTCCTGTGGAATTCCATTCATTTCCCTTAATTTAGCCTTCATATGTTTCTCTAATTTGTGGCTATAGTCCACCAGATCTGTGAGGAAGCTGACGACAAGTGTCTTAAACTGTGCGTCTGAGAGATTTGCTATTTCTTCGTCACTTAGATTTATCTCCGGGACTTTGAGGTCCCCCTGCGACATTTTTGGTCTGTTCTGGCCCTTTAAGTGAAAGAAGCGGCGCCTTGGAGTCCCAGGTCGCTGGGTTGTGACGCTGTATGTGGGGGCGTGGTCAGAGCGGGGGAAAATGGCGCCGCCGCCGGTCCCCCGCTCACTCCCTCACCCGCGCGTAACCGGGCACCCACAGTCAACTCGCTGCCACCGCCTCCCCACTGACTCCTCCGTAGTCACTCACCCGGTGGGCTGCTCACTAGGTCCAATCCTGGCGCTTGGAACCCGGCGTGCGACTGGATGGGTCCGCGCCCGCGCCCGGGTCGCTCAA